TATATATATATATATATATATATATAAAACAGTGAAGACGAAGCTAATCCAAAGATCGCCCGATTGTGTTTGAAGGTTTATGAGTTATGTTGGTTGATACGAAGGGCATAATTGTCATGTTTACTTTAAAGAAACAAATCTCTGTGATCTTTCTCCCTTTAATATTTAGGGGCAAAAGTTTCGATTACTATACTCTATTAATTTACATGGTAGTTAGCTATAGTAAACTTTTGTATTATTCCATGTTAGCCACTCAAAGTTTCTTGCTTTGCTATTTAGTCCCTCTTTAATATTTTATCTTTTTTTTTTTGTATTTCTTCATTATTTTATTCTTTGTTATGCCAAGGCTCATGTCTTTTAATATTTGCCACTTTAAGTCCTACTATTTTGTATGTTTCAACATTCTGCCAAAATATTTTTTATAGTTTCACAATTTTAATCCCTGGTATGTTGTAATTAGAGATTGGTCACATGTCTATAAATATTTGTCACTTTAAATCTCTTTGACCATTTGACCTTCTTTTTGTCATTTTTTTCGTCTTACTACTTATATTTCATTACAGATTGGCTACACGTGTTTTAATATTTATCACTTTCAGTCCCTTTTATTATTTTTGACCTTCATTTTGTCCCTTTTCCGTTTACCGATTTGTGCTTCTGTTTTGGGTTTCGTTTTGTCATCTTTTTATCATCGTTATCATTTGTGAATAAAAAAAAATGCATACCAGTTTTGACCTTCATTTTGTCCATTTTCCATCTACCGATTTGTGTTTCTATTTTGGACTTCATTTTATCATTTTTTCTCATCTATCATTTGTGAATAAAACAAAATGCATCTTATCCCCGACTTTTAAAATTCAATGGATTGATAAAAAAAAAGCCGTGGAAAAATCAGTTACTGCTGTTCTGGTCTATCCCCTTCCCACACCCATTCCCGTAACACCCGTTTCTTGTCTCTAGAATTTTATGCTTTCCTCAGCAAACAACTGAAAAAGCCAAAACCCATACCCTCCCACCTTAATTTACAAGGTCAATATTCATCCCTTGTTTTTGGCATTGTGTCTGTTTTGATCAACTATCACTATTTCCATTATTGGGTATGGTTCGAATTTCTTGATTTTGGGGTAAAACCTGATTTCCCCATATTGGGTATTGAAGATTCTGCTTCCCGTAAGTGGGTTTGCTTTGCTTCCTTTTTTTTGTCGAATAATTCGGGTTTGTTTTAGGCTGGCGTTTACTCGAATTGGGGGAAAAAGTCGAAGATGACCGTCTTTCTAGGGTTCTGAGAGTTAAGGTAACTGATTTGTCAAATTGCAATGATTTCTTCATATCAAATGTGGTACATGTCAAATTCAAAACCGATTAGCATTTCAATGCAAAATTTACACAAACTTTATTGTGTTTGTTACACCGTTTATAAAAGACTGATTCAGCTGGCAAATATTTCTGCAAAAAATTTCGAAACCAGTATCAATTATTCGAGTTGTTCGACTTCTCGACTCAAAGGAAGTAGATAAGAGCAGATGATGCTAATCAGCTGATCTTTTCATGGTTTTTCTGATTGTGTATAGTTGAATTTTCAAAGGGTGAAGAGGAAGATGAAGAGGGGGGTAGATGAGAACAATAAGGGACCCATGTTTCCAAGACTCCATGTAAATGATACCGAAAAAGGAGGACCACGAGCTCCTCCAAGGAACAAGATGGCGCTATATGAACAGCTTAGTATACCCTCACAAAGGCTCAGTGGTGGTGGACTTTTGCCAGTTAAACCCACCTCAACTGCCAATTATCCCCTGCCACCATCATCTTCTTCCCAAGTGAGTTAAAAATAACTCCATAACTTATAACATCTCTTTAATCGTCTAATCTAAGTGATTATTGTATGATTGTAGGGTGGAGTGAGTGGAAGGGGTTCGTTTTTCCCACTTCATCAAACTCCTTTGCCACATGTAGCTGATAAAATTAACATTAATCGGTATTCTGACTTAAACAATCAACTTGTGCAACAAGAGCAGAGAAAGAAACTAGAAGATGATGACTTTAGGGTCCCGATCTTTGTTCAACAATCTGGAATAAACCCTGATTGTAGTGGGAATCATCAAAACAAAGACAATGAAGGTCTCTCCCCCTTCAGTGCAGCCTTTTCAGGTCGTTTCACAAACATCCAAAGAAATAACTCTCAAGATTTACCCAAATCTGCCTTAAATCAATCATCCAAACCAGTTCAATTAAAGGAAACAAATGGTTCTTCAAGTTTTGATCACAAAAACGCTTTAAATAATTCTATCAGATTACAAAGTAATGGGAATTCACGGGAAGCTGACAACAATAACAGTGTCTCAGTTGAGACTATTAGGGCTGTGGGATATGGGAATTCTTTGTTGCCCATAAGGGATGTTCAACAAGAAATGCTGAGAAGTCCTAATGATCTTATCAATGGTGATGCTATTTCTGAGACTTCAATGGTTGATTCTGTATCTGGAGCTGATATTTCTCCTGATGATGTTGTTGGAGTTATTGGCCAGAAGCATTTTTGGAAGGCAAGAAAAGCTATAGTCAAGTAAGTGTTTTTCTCTTTCTCTTTTTCTTTCTCTTTCCCTATTCCTGTTTGTTATTTAAATCTTATTAAAATAAGATCATCTAGGTTTTATCTGTTCTCTCTTTGATGTACTAGACATGTTGAGGTTCTACATATACATATGAAACAATGGAAGAAAAGTATTCCTTTATCTTGATGTTAAAGATTTCAATATATATAGTTATTATATACACATGTATTGTTAACTTACATTTACAGAAAAATCATGGATATCGTATAAACATGTCAAAATACCTTTCAAGATGGAATTTGAATTACATTCATCTAATGAGTTTTGCACTTTTTGTATCGTGTGGTATTTGCAGCCAACAAAGATTATTTGCTGTTCAACTGTTTGAGCTGCATAGGTTGATAAAGGTACATACATACATACGATCATATACTCATACATTAGCAATTTAGCAGTGTTGAGGGTTTTGACTGTTGGTCAGGAAGTTGACCATATAATGTAATGCCAACAGGTTCAGAAACTAATTGCAGGATTACCCCAGCCAATGGTTGAAGACGATACATTTATAGGAAAACCACAAAAAGTTTCTCCAATTCCTATAGACCATGTCCTGAAATCATCCACACACATAATAATACCAAAGGTCAAAGATTACCATGAAAAGTCAAAGGAGGACACGAGGGAATTCTCAGCTGAAAATGGTTTTGAGGAGACACACACACAGGCATCTCTTTCTTCTGTCCAGAACAACAGTGGGCCCGGGCCCATGTTTTCAGGGTACCACCCGTTACCACCATCTGACCCAAGAATGGGTCCATGGGGCCTGACTCATCAACATCATCCACCTGGACATCAATGGCTAATTCCCGTTATGTCCCCCTCTGAAGGACTTATTTACAAACCTTATTACCCTGGAGCACCACCACCCATGTTTGGTAACTATCTATTTATAAAAAAATAATTAATCTTATCTTTTTTACTTTTTCTAAAAAAAAAATCTTAAATATATGTTGATAGCAGGTCATAACATGGTCAACCATGGGGTCCCACAGCAGCCTCATTACCAATGGCCCACCGGGTTCGTTCCTCCGCCGGCACATGGTTACTTCCCGCCTTATGGCATGACAACCATGAACACATCTGGATCTGGTGGTGGGGATATGGATATGAATATGAATATGAACCACCCCCAGCCAAGGTACAAGTCAGTAGATGCGTGTAACAATAATAGTGAGGTACAAGTGAGTAATGCAAGCAGTTTTTCAAGTGATAGAGTAGAAAAGCGAGATGTGCTTCCTCTTTTCCCCATGTGTTCTCCAGCAGTTGAGGGGGAGGGGAGTCGGGTTATAAGAGTTGTACCCCGTAATGCACAGTTGGCGAATGAGTCGGTGGCCCGCATTTTTCAGTCTATACAGGATGAGAGAAAGAGACAGGATCCGGTTTAAACTTTAAAGTGGTTTTGGAATTTGGATGGATGTTGTTCTACTTTTGCTTTGGATTTGGTACATGTTTTCAATGCAGTTTTGGAGTTACATATATATACACGATACATGTTAATTGTTAAAGGTTATATTACGTGAGGTGATAGAGGTTAAATGATGGAGATGAATGTTATGTGTCATTTGTTTTAGGGTAATTAATGAGTTATGACATTTTACAATCTGTGTAATGGGGAAAAATAGATGAATACATGATTGTATGCAAAATGGTTTGCAGATGTTATTGTTATACTTTCATAAGCATAGCAACTGTTTATTTTATTTATTTATTTATTTATTTTTGTGTATAGTTTTGTTAATTTGAAACATGTTTGGCCAACGACTTGTAGACTTGGTTCCTTTATGTATATGAGTTGATAATTGATAGATATAAATCAAAAACTTTTTACGTGACCATAGGACAAGATCAGACAACGAAAAGTTTTAGATATAAAAAAAATTCTTGAAGACAATCTCCAATATTTTGTGTGTTAAGTATGACTATCTTTATATGGTAAATTCTAAAATATAATTAATTTTTGTGAGATCAAAATTATGATATTTAATTATATTTATATGATGATAAATCTTTGAAACGCTTCAATTCTTATTGGGTTTAAGATACCGATCCAATTCGAACGGATCAATTCAGTTACAAACAGATCAACTATATTTGATATCTAATCACAATTTGATTGGATCTGTTTTGAAATTTCAAAATTCAAGTGGACTAGATCAGTTTTTTGATAATCCTGAAAATCAGTAATCAAACCGATCTCACGTTCACCAAACTGGATATCCAATATTATCATCCAATATTCAATTATCATCCAACGTTATATACAACTAATATTATTTAATAAATATCCAATCATCATCCAATTGAACTTTAAAGGTTAAACGGTTTTTTTTCTACAATATTTTAATCTAACTTTGAACATTGGTAATTGAAATTGAAGTGTCATTTACTAGTCTTATTTAGCATAATTGTGTATGGTTTTAGTTTTATTTATCATAATTATATTTGAATGTTATCGAATAGAAATTGGATTATAATTGGTTGAATAATGGATAAAACCAATTCAATCTAATATCTAATTGGATTGGTTCTGTTGTATATAACGAACTAGATTGGATATGTTGCCAAATTATCATCCAATGGATAATTGGATTTGGATCGGTTCCATCAATATTCAATGGATTTCAACCGATGAATACCTCTAATTTATGACATAAATAAGTAACAAATTATCTTAAATCTTTTTGAAATTACCATTCAACTAAATACACATTGTCGGAAGGTAACAACTTTTATTTTTGTTTTTAAAAAACCATTGTAACATGGAATGGTAGATTTTCCCGACTACAATGGTCATTTACAAATAAAAAAAATAAAAGTTTGTTAACTTCTGAAAACTTTTAGTTAGATTTTATTTTTAAAATGATTTAGATAATTTGTTACCTCGTTAAGTCTTTATCCCTAAATCATATTTAGATGTTTTCGTGTGAGGAAATGAATCATAATAAAAACTAATATATCAATTTCATTAACACACACACACACACAAAGTCATATTATTTAATTGGTATTGATCAAAAATTAATTTTTGATGATACGATTCTCAAGGGCGAACTCAAATAAGGAGGGGCCCCACCAGTCATAGTGTTCACTCTTCCCCATAAGAATAAGAACAAAATTCCTGGGGTTTTTTATTCCTTAGTAGCTTTGACAACATTCGTCTCTGTGTGAGCCCTCATCTCATGCTCCTACTACCTCTTAACTTCAAGTGGGAGTGATGGACGAGTGAAGATCGCCAACTCTTTCTTCCCCGTGAATTTACTTCAATTGAAATCGGACGGACCGAATTCTCCCTTTGAGCATAGCATGCTTTTGGGGAGTAAGTCACTTAATATAGTATATTATGTGAGAATCGATTCTTACATCACATCAAAATAGCATGTCTATATACTTATCTACAGGCAGTTCTTCTTTTTTACCTTCCATTCATTTTGAAAGAGAAAGTTTCCTCTCACCTAAAGAATGGATCAGAGAACGACGGCCTACGCATTGCAGCCACAACATTACTGGGCAAACTAGTATAGATTTCGGAAACTCCGGATCCCCCTAGTTGAAGACTATCGCCCACAATTAGAACCATCTAAAATAACGTCTATGATGGATCGATTACGAATGTCTCGTCCCAGAAGACTATCACTCAGGTTTCACTAATCGAGCAACGCGGTTATTTCGCGGAATAGAGATTTTTTTTTTTTTTTTTTTTTTTTTGTGATCCTCCATGGTTGAAAGAAGAAAGTATAATATGGTGTACCATGGGTTTTCAAATCCAAATCCTAAATAGGTCTTACCGAAGCTTGTGAACAATTAATACAAACACTATTTAGATGATAGGCATAGAAGATGTGTAATGTATCAAGATTTAGTTGTCTATATTTATTTATTAGATTAGATGTCCATATAACCAAACAATTTTATTTTCACACAACGTACGTTATACATTTAAGTGTAGTATTATATATAAGAGTGTTAAGTTATCTACTTTTATATCGATTAAGAAAAAAAAACAGTCCAAAACCAAGGTTCTGATTTTCAAGTAACGATTATCAAGTAAAAAAGTTAATTAAGAATAAAAAACTGAGAGAAAATAAAATTTCTATTTTTCCAAATGGGTTCGAAAATAGGCTTGATCTAGCCCACTTCAGTTTGGGCTTAAAGCCTGTTCCAATGAATACCCTAATTATATAACCGTTTCATCAATGCAATTGCATTCTCGATGCGACTTCGCCAGCAGCAGCAGAACAGCGATTGTGGTGAGTATTTTGTGTATCTTGTCTCCGATCTAGGGTTTTCAGGTTCTGCTTCCTTTATTGCTTCATATTCTGATTTGATTAATTTTTGCTGGTAGTGAAGATTAAATTACGTTTAGGTGAAAACCAAGTTTTCTGTAAAATTGCCCAATGAACTAGTACTACACATAGGTATAAAAAATTACCTTCCTTTATAGTGGAAGCTTGATTTACATTACAAGTCGATAGAAACTAAGTTATCAATCTGATGAATACAATAGTAAACCCTAAGTTTTTAATTGTAAATTCATTGTAATTTGCATTTTCAACAGGATTTTGCAAGGAGACGTGAGTTTTCTTCATCCCATTTACACTACCAACGAAAATGGCAACCCAAATGAGCAAAAAGCGAAAGGTTGGTCTCATTAATCACTGTCAGAATTTGAAATTATATATATTTTTCGTAGATTTTTGAGTGATCTGTTTTTGTAAACCAGTTTGTAGCTGATGGCGTGTTCTTCGCTGAACTGAATGAGGTCCTAACAAGGGAACTTGCAGAGGATGGTTACTCTGGTGTTGAGGTTAGGGTTACCCCTATGCGCACAGAGATCATCATCAGAGCCACTCGCACTCAAAACGTTCTTGGTAAAGTTCTAATCACGTTACTTTTAATCTATCTGCACATTTACATGATAAATATAGTGTGATGGCTATATGCTTATTGAATATTGAACCTCATTTTTCAGGCGAGAAAGGAAGAAGAATAAGGGAGTTGACCTCACTTGTTCAAAAGCGATTCAAGTTCCCAGAAAACAGTGTGGAGCTTTATGCTGAAAGAGTTAACAACAGAGGGCTTTGTGCCATTGCCCAGGCTGAATCTTTGCGTTACAAGCTTCTTGGAGGACTTGCTGTCCGCAGGTTTGTGCACATTATAAAGATTCAAACTTGTTCCACTTATGCTGCATTTCTGTTTCTCATATGCTAATTCAACTGTTTTCAGAGCTTGCTATGGTGTTCTGAGATTTGTGATGGAAAATGGGGCAAAGGGTTGTGAGGTATGTAAACTTTTTGTTAGTTTCATAGTTTCAGTTTTAACACGGTTAACCACTTTCAGGTGATTGTGAGTGGGAAACTTAGGGCTCAGCGTGCTAAATCAATGAAGTTCAAAGATGGATACATGGTGTCATCTGGTCAACCTGTGAAGGAGTACATTGACTCTGCTGTAAGACACGTGCTTCTAAGACAGGTAAGAGACTGCAAAAGACATGGATGCCTTTGTGATTCATCATACATTACATTGTAGATACCATTAAATAAGTTGTAGTAATTATTGTGTTTGTGTTGACAGGGTGTTCTTGGTATCAAAGTGAAGATCATGCTTGACTGGGATCCTACTGGAAAGCTTGGGCCAAAGACACCTTTACCTGATAATGTTATAATTCACATGCCTAAGGATGATGTTGTTGTCCATCCACCAAAAGAGGTGGAGGAATACAGGCCACCACTTGTGATTGCTGATGAGCCCATTCCAATGTCTGTTCCCGTTGGTGTTTAAAGCAGCATGAGATGATTAGAGAGAGTTGTATGTTTGAGCAGATACAGACGGTATCTGAAACTTTTGCTAAGATATTTTTTCTTTCTAGTTTTCATATGTTTTGAGGTTGATGGAATTCTCATATCTATTCAAATTTTGTACTCTTCTTCAAATGACCTTTTTACTTTCTAGTGTATTGTGATTAACTGATTACTAATGCATATATGGCCATATGGGTGAACAAAAGACCTAGGCATGACCTATAATGGGCTAAATCAATCAGCGCCATTGTATCAGCTATTCCAGTTTCATCTATAATGGGCTACTTCTAAATTAGATTTGTTATTAATATAATTAGCCCAATACTTATTGGTTATAATAAGCCCAAATACCCAATAAACCATATATAAAACCTAATTAGAAAGTAAAAAAGCCGTTGTTTTCTTTCTTCATCGCTCTTTCTGTTTTGCTTTATTTCTTTTATGTTGTGCATATTTGGACCAATTTGTGTTTTAATCATTTTTGGAAGCAATCTGGTGGAACCATTTTAGTTTGTTTGAGTAGACGTATTTAGTCGTACGGGTTTTCAATTTTGTCTAATTTTATGGTGAAAGTGCCATTGGCAATTAATTACGTGATAAGTTTCACTAAATTGTGTTTTTGAATATGGATTATTAGGCTCGGGGGAGTGGGTGCGGTAGAGGGTGCACTCTCTTGCCACATCAGCTTGGAATACCGACCACAAACTACGGTTTTGGTGCGGTAGAGACCGCACTGTGGCACTCCAAGAGAGCGCTCCTCTTTTCTTATTGCCATTCCAATTGACCGTTGAATGGTCAGATTTTTTTAAAAAAATATTTTTTCTTTTCTTTTTAAACCTTTTAAATTGAGTGTGGCACCATTCATTGGGTGTGACATCAAACCATATTTTTATGGTAAATGCTGACGTATCGCCTATGTGGCACTGCAGTTTCATAAGGGAGTGTGACACCATTCACTCCGGCCTTAGTTAATTTGTTAGCATGTTAGGAATTAAGCTGTAATGTGAATTTATGATCTTACGTCTTGTGAAATTAATCTGTTAATTTGTGTCCATTTTTATGAGTTTTTAGTTTTTATGATATTGATTCTATACATATTAATAGTATTAATACTCTAATATATATATATATATATATATATATATATATATATATATATATATAAAAGAAAAGTTCAATAGAGAACCATAATTATTGGTTCTTCAAGGAACCAAATTTTTTTTTTTCAATTTCTAGAGCTTATTCTTTATCGAAAAAAAAAATCTAAAAATATCTAAATTCATATATTAACATTGTGAATGTGAAAAATATTTTTCGGATTCACCATGTGAATCCGGATTCACATTGTGAATTTTCAAAGATTCACAATGTGAATTTGACGTAAAAACAAAAAAAAAATCGAATTTGATATCATTGGAAAAAGGATAAAAAGTTATGAATTTTTGTATTTTTAGTTT